GGGGAATTTGTGGCGTCCTTTTTGGGCACCGCCCTGGGCTCCCCTCTTGGGTCCTCCACGGGAACCGGAGTCTCTGTCCATGCTCACCAGGCCCGAAGCGAGATGGCCACAGCAGCTCAAGTCCAGGGCCGGAGGGGCACAGGCCATTGACTTGAAGGCCATGCTTCTGCCTGGCCAAATTGGAGAAGCTATTTCTCACCCCTTGCACGCTCCAGGGCTGGGGGCGGGGGTGCATTAAAAGGCCGAAGGGACTGTTAATTGGAAGGAAAAATCCCACCGCACTTGGAGCGGCAAGCCTCAACTCCTAAAACCCGGGTAATTAAATTCACGTGTGAATCCTGTGCCTGCAAGCGTGTGTTTCTCATTAGCCCACTTCCCTGGCGGCCAGGCCGGCTGCCTCCGGTTGCTTCGGCTCCGTCTCTTTTCTTTCTTTGCCTTCATCCTCTCCAACTATTTCATTAATCGCCCCCCCCCCAATCCTGAACTAGCCCTGTCCCAGGAAATAGACCCCCCCCCCATGCCAGGTTCTCCGGGAGCGACGCTGCAAAGCAACGGAGACACCAAGGCGCACTCCTTCCCTCCCCGCCCTCGCCCTCTGCCTGCGCCCTGGGGAACAGGAAAGTGGCCGACACAATGAACTCCGACGTGGGCCATCCGGTCGCCTCAACCCTCTTGCCTCTAATCTTTTTATTTCCCGGTAAATTTCTCTGCTGCACCCCGACCCTGGCAGCAGCCTAAGGTATCCAAAATACCCAGCAATGTTCACAACCCTCAGAGATTTTTGTTACAAAATAAACCACCTTCGTTACCAAGACTCACTGGGAATGGACACGCCTGCCTGCTTCATCCCCACTTTGTGGGCCCACAGACCACACGGGTTATTAGTAATTATTTTTAAAAATCGAACACGAAGGCTTTTTTGTTTAATAGCCTTAGCTCCCAACTAGGGCGATTACCCAACAATTAACCAGGCGGGGTGTGTGTGTGTGTTAAGCAGCTGTTACTGTTGCCTAGAAGGCGAAAGAAAAGAAAAATTACAAAATCAAATACTGTCCCTACCCAGACTAGAGGTTTGGGGCCAGAATCTTTAGACTCGCTGTCTGCTTCTTATTTTACAAGTGAAAGGGCTGTGTGTGCATAATAATAAGCTAAGAGGACCTAATTACGAACGGTTCTTTCTAAAGCCGTGCTATCCCCCAATGCATCCAGTAACGGGACCTAGAAAATGATAACTAGCGGTTGAAGCGAAATGGGTACACCGCCTTGCCTCCCAAATCTACGGTGCTGGAGCTCTTGGGGAACCGAGGCAGGCAAGAGGACAAAAGAAGGCGTGCGTGGGTGTGCGTGCGTGCTGCCCGCCTTTGTGCGGGAGACGGGGAGGCCCTAAGAACAGTGGTCAGGCCGGCTCTCGTCTGCACACAGCAGCTAGGACCACGGGACTCCAGCGCCCTGGAATTTTAAAGTCCTTTCAGCTATTCCAAACAGATCAGCCCCTGGAGGGGGGTCCTCCCCAACAGGCAGCAGGCTGAGCCCCGAGGAAGCCCCGGGCAGGCCAGCAGACAAGCACGGCTCCCCAGCCTGGCTCTCCCTCGCCACAGCCGGAGCTGGTGCAGGAAAGCCGGCCAGAGCGGGTAAGCAGCCTCCGTCGCGGAGCCGCCCGGTTCCCCGGAGCCCGCCTGGGCCTCAGCTCGGACCTCCAGAGAAGCTGAGGAGGGGCTCCCCTGCCCTCTTAGGTGTGGGCACACAAAAGCGCGAGCGGAAACGCAAGGCCGCCGCCAACCGGTCGGTCGTGATCGTAACCGAGGCCTTGTCCGCCCCGCAGCAGCCAGGCCCATGCATCCCCACGACCCTCCATGGCCGCCCCACGCGGGCCAGCACGCCCTCAGCAGACCCCGCCGGACCCCCGAGGAGAGCAACACGAGAACTCCTCGCTCTCCCCCTAGCCAGCCCTGGCCCCCTCCCCAAAGAAGGATTTCCAAAGGACGAGGGAGGGGGGCAGAATCCAACAGACACATGGAAGCTGAAAGAAAAAAAAATGAAAAGGGAAGGGGCCAAAAAAGGGGGTGGGGGAGATAAACGAGGAAGCTCGGCGGGAAGAACAAGAGGCAGAGAGCACAGGGGGCGTCTGCAGAAAGGCTAAGGGACAAGGCCACGTTGCCAGCTCGTTGCCAGCTCGATGCGCCTCGGTGCCCCTGCTTCCCCGTCCCCCGCCCAACCAGTTCGGCCTCCGTGTCCACTGACTGGCAAAGCAATCCTCCTAAACTCCTTCACAGGAGACCTGGATGGGGTAGAAATGGCGGGGTTCCCAGCCAGGCGCAGGCATAGGCCAGGGGAAGCTCAGGATGCAAGCGTGCGCCCCTGACCTTGAATGGCCCCGGGCCCAGAATTCTTACCACGCCCCTGGCGTCCGCGAAGCCGCAACTAACCTGACCGTACCTGCTCCGGGCCAGGTCGGGGGGCCAGGGGAGGAGGGGACGAGGCCAGCTGGCACCGCGCTAAGGAGAAGCTCCCGTGCCTGGGAAGCCGAGGTTTACCACCGCAGGCAGGCCTGGCACTACCGATCCGGGGGGCCTTGATACCCCGCCCGGCCCGGGCCCCCAGCACGCGCACAGGTACCTGGAGACGATTTCAACTGAAGTAATGAAGGCAGTGTCGTGCTGTCGAGAGAAAGGTGGATCCCAACAACAGGAAACTACCTAAATCACCGACCAGTTCTGGTGCTTCCCTCGCGCGGGGCCGCCTCGCCCGCCGCCGCCACTGCTGCTGCTGCCGCCGCCGCCGCCACCGCCGCCAAGGAGAGAACCCAGCGGATCGCGTCCAGCCCAGCCCCTTGGCAACCTGCGCCCGCCACTGCCACCGAGTGCCCCGGGAGGGAGAAGTCACCGCCCCCACCTCCACCCACCAAGGTAAGCCTTGGGACCCAGGGAGAAAAGAAGGGAGAGAGAAAGCCAAGGAAAGCAGAGGAGGGGAAGGCAGAAGCCCAAGTAGGCCCGAGTCGCAGAGCAGGAGCAGGGCGCGCGCGCTGCTTCCCCAAATCTTGCCCAAATCCCCGCAGCTCAGCGAGCGGGCGCCGAGTGGCGGGCGGTCCCGGGGTGGGGGTGGGGGGCTACTCCGAAGCGACGGGGGGAAGCACGGAGCCCTGCTCCTCGTCTGGTCGCGGCCTCCAGCGCTCGCTCTCCCCCCTCCCTCGCAGCCGGGACGCGCGCTCCCGCGCCCCCTCCCCTCCCCTCCGCGTCCAAACCATCCCCCCCCCCCTTTCTGGCGAACAGGAAACGCGTGTCCCCGCCAAGGGCTGCCAGGTGGGGGGGAGGCTGTACTGGGGGAGGGGGCGGCCCCAGGCGGCGGGTCCTGGGTTCACCTAACCACTCGTGGCCACGGGCTCCGGTGATGCGCCCTGGGCCCAGGCTGCTCCCCGGAATTAGGCAAAGAGGTCCTCTGGGACCCCAACACCCGAAAAATCCCCCAGGCTCTAGGAGCCCTCCCTGAGCTCCGGAAAGAAATCCTGTTTGGCTTCCTGTGTCTACGCAGCGCCCCTCTCAACTGAAACCACTGGTCCAAGACAGCCACAATCCAGATATACTAGCAAGTCATAAAACTGAACAAAAGCCGACAAACCTTACGGCACCAGGGCTATAGGGCCCAGACAAATTACGACCGTCTAGGTAATATTTAAATAGATGCCGAAAGTAATTGCAGGACACTCGAGCTAGCCCTCCTGTTGTAAAAGGGGTGGACAGGATAAAGTGGAAGGTGAAGATAAGAAGTAAAAAAAAAAAGAGGTAAAATTATAAAACTTCATTCCACAGCTTTATTCTATAAGAACATAAACATCGTCTTTTTTTCCACGCACAGCAGCAACACAATATTAATTTATTCTGATTTAAGATTAGAAGTAAATAGAGCTAGAACTAACATTTATAATAATAGAATGCATTTGCTTAAAACAAGATTGGCAATTTTTCTCAATAATAGACATTTATACAGATTTGTATTTATAGTTTTTTTTTCTTCTTCTGCACCTCAGGTTCGACCCTTTTATGCATGTAACTTCACAGTATAAAGGAAATCCAAACAATATCTCCCTTCTCTCGTGTATTCCACTTGCTCCAGCCCTTCTAGGCTTCCAGAAATTTCAGAAAGCCAAAATAATAAAAAAAAAAAAAGAGGTGAATTTAAAAAAAAAAACACAAGATAGGGAGAATTGTGGTGTGCTTGTCATGTTACCAATGGTAACGATTTCAATGACCAAAAAAAAAAAAATCCATAAATTCCAAAGTATAAACAAAACGAGGATGTGGAAATTCAGAGGTAAATGAAGCAAGTTAGCAGGCCCTCCGTGGGCTGAGGGAGCAGGTTGCTTTTCTTGGTCATTCTTTCTCTTTTGTTTTAAAGCTGGGATACGTGACAGAGGAAGGGAAAATAGATGTCTCCCTTGCTTTTTCAATCAACCAAAATGAAGCCCCTTTGCCAACCTACAGGTCCAAGCCTTCTCTCTTGCCCAAGGAAGAATGCAAGAAGGAAAAGAAAAAAAAAATCAAAATAAAATAAGGAAACCCAGAGGCCTGCTTGTCCTGATCGGACTCAGCCCAGCACTGCAGGCAAGGGTGCCCACTGGTGCCACGATGGAATCTCGGCCTGCCCACGCTGGGCAGGAAACCAGCTCAGTGGAGGGGACAGGGCCCACTGAGCTGTTGCACCACCCCCTCCCCAAGCCCGCAAAGCCTGCCCAGCCAGGACTTGACCCTCAAGATCACCTCTGCAGAATCGTAGCGCGATATGGCTTTTTCCCCCAGAAAAGACAAGTAAACCGGCACGAAGCGGACAGAGAAACAAGAAGTCAGCACAAACCAGCCCCGCGCGAGGATGCCGCGGCCCGGGAGATGGCGAGTGTGGGAGGGAGGCAGCGGCTCCAGCGCAGGTGCGAGTTCCTGGGGCAGACGCTGAAGACAACGGGGGGTGGGGTCGGCGCGGAGGGAACCCAGCGCGGCCTTGGAGCTTTATCAGGAAAAATTAAAGTTGGCGGTGAGCTCCCGGATCCGGTTCTCTCGGTTCATTTTCTTCAGTTTCATCCTGCGGTTCTGAAACCAGATTTTCACTTGTCTGTCCGTGAGGTGGACGCTGCGGCTGATCTCCAGGCGCCGCTCCCGCGTCAGGTACATGTTGAACAGGAACTCCTTCTCCAGCTCCAGCGTCTGGTGCTTGGTGTAAGGACACCGCTTCTTCCTGCCGCTCTTCGCCGTGAGCCAGTTGGCTGCGTTTTCGCCTTTGGAGTTGCCTGGCGTAGGACAGAAGGAGAAGCGGGGAAGGTTAGGTGGAGGCCACGCGCGTGCAAGGTCCGTCTGGCGCCTGCGGATGCAGGATGCCCTGGGTCTCAGAGAGGAGGGGGCATTCTTTGCCCCCTCTGGCTGTCGCAGAACAGCAAGTTCTTCCCCAAAGCAGGCCTGGCCACATCTAGCGCTCCCCTCACTCCACACCTCTCCCCCCCCCCTTACATTTTCTTTCAATCCCAAACGCCCCCCCCCCCCCAGACACCTGTTTTAGCCCAAAGCGGCGGCCACTTGCAGAGGCCTAGTACCGGGACAGGCTGTCCATCTTGAACTTAACGCCTTTTTTTTTTTCCATGTGGCCCTGTGGCAAACCAGCGTTTTCCCCGCAACCCCTAAGCTCGGGGCTCGGGGCTGCCGCCTTGTAAGAGGGCCTGGTGGCGTGGCCATCTCGCCCCAGTCCTCTGATTGTTGAGAAGAGGGGAGAGAAGGAAGGGCACAGTGGCAGCCACGAGGCAGACAGGCAGGCAGGCAAAAGCGATCCCGGGGGTCAAGGGCCCTCTCTCCCAAAGATTCCAAGGAGGAGCTAGCAGGGTGCGGCTGGGCAATCCGAATTCCAGAGGGAAGTGCGGGAGCAGCCCCGCTTGCTCAGTGCGCTGAGCCCAGGGCCTGTGGCGGCCTCCGGCCATCCCGGGCGGCATTTCGTCTTTCCTCCTCGGCGCCGAGAGAGGATGCCCGCCCCTCCAGCAAGTTTGAAAAAGGTACCGGGATCGTAAACTCGAACTTCGCCAGTTAATGGGCTTATTTATTGGCGCTGGCGGCTGCTTATTTTGGATGCCTTACAAACATCCACGCTATCTGCGGGCGAGCCACGCTCCCTCCCTCCCCCTCACCCCACCCCCTCTCCAGCGCGTGGGCCGCGTCGCGCAGAACAGGGGCCGGGACCAGGACCAGGGGTGCCCCGGGCCACGCGGGGCAGCGAGCGCAGGAGAGGGGGGCTCCTGTCTGGTTGGCCCAGGCGGCGTCACCCCGAGGCGGGGGTGAAGCTGAGGCCAGCGCCGTCGCGGCAGCTGAGGACGTCTCGGCGCGGGGCGCTAAGCCGGACATGAATTTTTTTACTGCGTCCCCACGCCCAAATATTAAAAAAGCAAGTTCACAGGGTCAGCACTGGCTGCAGCTTGGGCCAAGGCCGGCCGGCTGCCGCTCGGGCGCTTGCTTCTCCGCTCCTTCCCTTTGCTGGATCTGCCTATCTGTGCCCACCTAGGCTGCGCCCGGCTTACCCAGGGAGTCCTTCTCCGGCGAAGCTTTGCTGCTTTCGGAAGGGGCCGGGGAGAGCTCCTCCGCTGCCGAGGACGACGCGTGCGCCTCCTCGTCGCCCTGCGAGCCACCGCAAGCCAGCGTGGGCGGCGGCGGTGAGGACTCGAGGGCGCGCTCCTTCCGGGTCGCCTCAGCCGAGCCGGAGGCGAGTGCGGGCGGCGGGTCGAAGCCGCGCCCCGGGGGCTGCGCGGGGAACGGGCCGGCGCCGAGTTGCTGCGCGCCGCCGCCGTAGCCCTTGGCCGTGCCGTAGGCCTGCGAGAGGCGGAAGTAGCCAGGCACTGGCACTCCGCTGGAAGCGCCCAGGGCGCAGCCGTCGGGTGGCGGGCCCCGCGGGAAAGGGGCCAGGTCGGCGGTGGCGGCTGAGCCCTTGGGGCATTTGTCCGCCGAGTCGTACAGGCAGTAGGAGCTCTCTTCTTTGATGTTCTGCGCGAAAGAGCACGAAGTGGCCTGTGGCGGGGGCTGGGGTGGTTGCGGCGGCGGCGGGGGCGGCGGCTGCTGTTGCTGCTGCGGCTGGGGTGGCGGCGGCGGAGGCCCTTCGGGCGGCTCCATCCGGCAGGAGCGCGGCGCGTCCAGCCACAGGTCTAGGGGCGCGGGAGCGTAGGTGCCGTGAGCCGTGGGACCCAGGCTCCCGCTTCCACCGCCGCCGCCAGGCGACGTCGCCTCATTGCGCTTGCCGCCCAGCGCGGGGAAGAGCCCGCAGCTCTGCAGCCCGTAGGGCAGGTCGGTAGCGGGCGGCAGGTAGACCCCGCCATGGGCGTAGTAGCCGCCGCTGCCGCCTCCCGCGCCCCCGCCGCCGCCGCCCGCCTCGCCTCTGCCCGAGCTGATGAGCGAGTCCACCAAAAAAGAGTTCGCGGCGGGGCTCTCCGAGCATGACATTGTTGTGGGATAATTTGGCGAAGGGAGTAGATAGCCCTTTCTGGCTGACATTTCTTGTGCAAAACATGCTGAATACGATTAGCAATCCCCCCGCACCGCGGCGGGCGCCCGCAGCCAATCCTGAGCCAGAGTTGCCGCGCGACCACTCCCAGTTTGGTTTCGTAGGCGCGGGGCCGCTCTCCGAGGGCGCCCTCGGAGCCCGCGATTGATATAAATATGTAATCTGTATCGACGCACCAGGAGAGGCACGCCCGACACCTTGGCCCAAAGGCTGGGAGCCATGGGGGCCGCCCCAAAGTGACTTGTGCGTGGGTGGGGGGAGAGGGCTGGCCCCTGGGCTCGCCCCGCCCCTCCACGGACCCGGAGCCCCTGGCGGCAGCGAGGGGCTGTTGGAGAAACCCTAGGGCGTCTTGCAGTTAACAAGTGAGGGGTGTTTACGGTGCGTGCCCAGATCTGCCTTGGGTGCTCCCGAGTCCCGGTGCCCAAGCAGTCGCCAGTAACTAGCACGTCGTGACGGCCGAAGGGGACACTTAGGGAACCTCACACTCAATGTGTTTGGCTTTGGAACTGGACTTGGTCCCACGTCTTGAATTCTAGCCCTAGAGATCTGCTGGACCCCCTGAGTGTGCCAGCCGGCAAATGGAAGCATCCCACACAAGATTTCCCCACACCCCAAAAGACCTTGACTGGCCCTGGCTTTTTTGCGCCCCAACAATCTCCTCCCAAGTTCCCTGCTCCCGGCTTGTCTGGTTACGGCCTTTTCCCCCACAGGGGCCCACCTGGCTTGCCTTCTAGCCACCTCCTACCTTGGAGCTGATGGGCCTGCTCCAGCAGGGGTGTGTGTGTGTGTGTGTGTGTGAGGAGGGTAGCATGGGGGCGGGAAGCCTTGGCCGCAAGACGCCCACCAGAGGCGGCCCTGCACACTCTACCCTGTCACCCTGAGGAGACTCCAAGCTCACCCATAATCGTTAGGGGGAAACCCTGGAGTCTTTGGCCTGCTTGGAGGAGGAGACCTGGAGGGGTCTGGTATCCCCGCCAAACCCGTCTGCCCTCCCATCCCATCTGCCACCCTGACTTTAGCCCTGGCATTTGTGCGTTCCTGGAGGCTCCGACAAGAACCAGAATCCCTGTACTTCTGCCTCTCTGTCCCCTCCCTCCTGCCCCCTCCCTCACATGCCCCGGGCTGGGGCAGCCCTGGCTCCCGCCGCGCGAGCATTTTAACGAGGCCCCAGTGAGGAAATCTGTTCCCTGACAGGCTCCGCTCAGCAGCGGCCCTGCTATAAGAGGGTTCCGCAGCCAGGCCCTTTGCTCAGCAGACCAAGGGCGCTTACTAGGGGTTCACTCTCTTAGCCAACTCCAAGTGGCCTGCCCTGGGGGGCGCTCGCTCCCTCCCCACCCCCAAGTCTGAGCCTCAGGCAAGCGGCCGGAAATGCAAGCTTTTTAGGATTCAGTGAGCCTGGAGGTTGCTGCCTAGCGGTACCCACCCCCTGCTGCCGCCCCTGGGCCGGTGAGCTACACAGCTCCAGGATGCCCTAGGCCTGGCTGCCGCGGCGGTATAGCGGCTGTAGCTGGAGTAGCTGGACGTCTGAATCCCAGGATTCTAGGGGTGGGGAAAGCAAAACTCGCATCCCGGTGATCCGCCAGGTACTGCCACCTCCTCCTCCACCCCACCGCCCGAGTGGGAACCTAACCGCAGGAAGATTAGCTGGGAGGCACCACAGCCGCCCCGGAGAGAGCTGTGTAGCGCCAGGCGCTGGCTTTGGGACTCCAGGCAGCTGCAGCCATGCCGGGTCACAGCACAGCTTGCACAGTCGCTCCAGCCAGCTTCACCTACTTCTCCCCTACAATGGGCTTCCCAGCCTGAGCCTCAGGATGCAGAAAAGGGAGATGGAGAAAGAAGGGATCCCCGGAAAAAAAAAGAAAGAAAGACCCAGGGAGCTACAAGGGGGGGGGCGCTGGAGAACACCGGGAGAAGGTTCGCTGAGCCTCACTGCCCGCTTAGCAAGCTCAACATTGAGGTCCGTGCGCAGAGCTGGTCACCTCAGCTTCCCCTTTCTCATCACTGCGGTCCTAAGGCCAAGGCAGATGTTACATCCTGCCAGGCCTGGAAGACCGAGTCTGAGTGCAGGAAAGCTTCCAAGTACGGCCAGCGGGCCCTGGCTTTCCCCCGGCCGATCTGCCAGGTCATCACCCCGCTCCCCAGATGTAGGGAACTAGCTAGGGCTGTTGCATTCAGCAGTGCCCCCTGGAACAGTGAGGACTGCGACAGACAGCTAGCCAACGGAGGCTTTGCTCCCGGTGCCACTGCTCCTGGCTGCTGGTGGTCCTATAGCTCCCTGAAGGAGAGCTCCATGGAGGAGAGCAGGACTAGGGCTTTCCACCTTCTTCCACACGGGAGGAGGTCTGGGAGGGACATCCACAGTGTGGGGGTGATGGTGGAAGCTACAGAAATAACGTGGAAGATCCCTGGTGTTGAACCTGCTCTCCCTTACTAAGCAGTCAGAGTTGGGGCTGGGAACCTGGGCACTCAGGAACATTTTCCCGAGTGAAAAGCACATCTGTGCCTCCCCCCAGCTTGAAGCCTCGCTGTTGAGGAGTTCCCAGGCCCCTTGGAACCTTCTCCTTGGAGTCCTTTTGAGTCCTCAAGGACTCTCCTGGGATTCAGGACCCTGCCAATTTGGCGGCTGAGACAGGCCCGTTCCCCTGCTGCAGGCAGCTCAGGCAAGTCCCAGACAGGACCCTATTAGGGTGGCCAAATGGGGTTGTAGGCTGGAAGGAATCCAGGCGCCTGCACGTGCCAGGCAAGGTTACTTAAGTCTGCCTGGTGCCGCGTCTGCCACCGCAGGGCCAGGCCGGTTAAGGGCTACAGGAGCTGGAAGGGCGGGCCACGAGCCTCCCCAGACCGTGGCATTGGCCGCTGGGGCTTCACCGACCCCTGTGGACAGCAGGAGTACATTCAAGCGCCACTTTCTCCCCCTGGCCATAGACCAAATGGGATATTAGATTTGAGCTTTTTTTTTTTTCTTAAGGAAAAACAAAACAAAACAACAAAAACAGCGGGGCGTGTGCGTGCACAAGAGAGCTCCGCGGCTCCGGTCGGGAAGCTCAGTTCCGACCAGGACTTGCTGGATCCGGATGGCAGCGGGGAGCGCCAACCCCGACTGCCTGCTAGATTCAAGCCGCCGCGGAAACTGAAGCCCAATGCGCTTTGTGCCTCGGCCCTGTTCTCTCTTGGTCCCAGCATCCCCGCTGGCCCCCAAACTGCACTTCACAGCACTTCACTTCGCCTTCACTGCAGCACAATGGCAATGGCTCCTCCATAAAATATCTCCTGTATCCATCGCCTGAGCTCCTCATCCATTCCCCGAGTGCTGCCATCGCGGTGCGGGCCTGCGCTTGGCCGCGCGCTCTCGCTCCCTGCCGCCGGCGGCCCTCCTTCTCTCGGTCCCCTTCTTTCCCGCGGCTAGATCTCCCTGTCTCTCTCTCACGATGCCTTTGACCCGAAGCCTCAAGCCAGCAGGCCTGGGCAAGCAGCAGCTGCGCCGGCCACCCTCGGAGTCTGTGTTTGATTTTGGAGTAAATATTGCCCGTTTCTACCTGGGTGACAACCTCCACGGGCTGCCCGGGGCGGAAGTAGAGGTCCAGTCCGGCGGATTAAGCCCTTGAGCAAGGATTAAGCTGCCCTTCACTAAAAGGCGGATTCCTGTTCCCCAGTAGGCCCTTGCATGGGACGAGAAATAAACATCTCGCCCAAACCAAGTTCTTTAGGGGGGAGGGAAAACGTCTCATGACTGAGAGAATCAGTAAACAATTTGTATCTGGACCTCAACTTGGATGTTTTTCGGGGCTCTGAATTAACCATCAGGAACTCGGGTTCCCCCACCCACCCCAAAGGAGAAAAAACAAGCGCTGTATCCGCCTATCTGGTTGCAACAAAAGCTTAGGGCTTCCAGACTCCGGCATCCAAGCATGCATGGCTGAAACATCATTACAGCAAAGCTCTGCTCACCTGCGAGGACTCCTACCTTGCCAGGGGCGTTTGCTAGATCTGCTTTGGGGTGATCAGGTGCAGTACACCTCTTAATAGCATGCTTGACTTATTATTTTTTTTCCCCAAGTCCTTCCCCTGGTCCCTACTCTCGTGGAGAGAGGTAAAGAGGTTTGCAGCCCCCCCCTTTTTTTTTCACAGCCCTCGAATTGCAATATTCTTATTTTATTCCTAGTCAACAACCTCTGGCCCTGAGGTGGATCTGGGACTGCAGAGGATTCAACAAAGACAAGCGACTTGATAGGCAAAATCTACAGACACGCAAACATACATATTTAGAGAGGACCCGTAAATTCTCTGAAATTTCCTCCGCACTGTATATTCAGGAAGAGAAAAAAAAATCTGAAGAAGCGAATAAAAAATATGGGATTCAGCACTTAAATACGAAAGGGAAATGCAATGACTTATTTGAAAGGTGAGTGAATTATAATCATGTAAGCCCTGATCGGCGACAACCCCGACGGAGTGATTACTCCACTGGACTTTATCCTTGGCGCCAGATAGCTGAAAGCGGCGGCGAGGTCATCACACCGCGTTTTGGCAGGTTTGCAAACTTATGCAAAAGATCTCAATTTTTTTTCCATTAAAAAAAAAGTGCTGCAACCCGCTGGCGAGTTTATAGCTACGCTTTTCAAATAAGCCTTAATTCCGAGACTCCTCCAGCCGCCGCTGCGGAAACCAAATGCGACTTTTCGGGAAGTGGCCATTTCGGGGAAAACAACGAAAGTTTCCTCTAGGCCTTCGAGCCGACCAGGAGACCTCACCTATTAGCAGGATCTCCATACTGGGCAGTGTGCCCGCTCCAGCGGCCACGGGCCCTCTACCATTGTCTGGAGTGCAAAACTTTCTGTTTCGTCCAGTCTCTCTCTCTCTCTCTCTCTCTCTCTCTCTCTCTCACACACACACACACACACACACACACACACACATGCGCGCGCGCGCGCGCCCCATCCTCGCACAGCTGGAGCCCTCGGCGCCCCGAGCTAAATCAGTCAACTTTTCCACCAGGCCCGAGTCTGCCCCGCGGCCCTCACGCCGCGAGCGAGCCAGGAGGGCGAACGGGAGGGGGTGGGTCGCGGACGCTGACCGCCTCGCACCCCGCACGCCCAGAGCCATACCCGCCGCCCAGCTCCGCTAGGACCCCGGGGCCGCCTCCCCGCGGCCACCCCGGGCCAGCCTGCCATTGCCCAAAGCCCGGGGCCTCTTACCTGGACGCATTTCCGAAATCGCCGCCGGGGAGACAGAGGGCTTTCGGCGCCACCGCAGCCACCGCCGCGACCCTCGAGAGGCCTGGCTAGGGCGCACGGCTCGAGCTCGCGCCACGCAGCCCTTCCAGAGTGCGGACCCTTCTGTGCCTGCCACCAAGGGGAGCGGGACAAGTCAACTCGCGTCCCGCGCCGCTCTGGGTATCAGAAGCGAACAAAGGCCAAGAATCGCGCTGGGGTTCCGGGCTCCCCGGCGGCTTTGACATTGATCGGAAGTGCGCCATCTCGTGGTGGTTGCGCGCCTAGGTGCGGCGGGGACTCCATCCTGGAGCGCACCATAGCCAGCCCGGCAGAGAGAGAGAGAGAGAGAGAGAGGGAGAGAGAGAGGAAAGAGAGGAGAGAGAGGAGAGTGAGAGAATGTGCCCAGCCGGCTGCTATTGAGATCTCATTTTTACATCTAAGAAATTGCTCCAAAACCCCAGCCGGGTTTATAGCAGCGCATTCCAAATATGCAAATTGGCCGGCCCCAGACGGGTTTACGACCACATTGTCACAGCCATCGGAGGGATGGGCTTTTATAGGGCTCAGAAATCAAACCCGCGCTCGCCCGCCGTCCGCCAGCGAGCAGTCCTCCTGGCTAGACGCTTTCCAGCAACTTGAGAGACTTTGGTTAATCTTCAACCACCCCAAAGGAAGTCTTCCTCCCGCCCCCACCCAAGCTCAGGCTCTCCTACCCTCCACCGCCCCCTCCCTGCCCCTCAGCGGGGGCCCTTGGTCCTTGCTGGGTGTCCATCAATCCAGACATTCATCTTAGCGCTTGTCGCACTGCCCTTTCAGCTCAGCTTCCTCAGTCCCGCCAGTTAGGCAAACACACAAACAAACAGAGTCTAGGGCCTGGGGTGGGGTGGGGTCTCTCCAAATGAGACCCTCTCTGTCGATCTGGCCCCGCCTGGGTGGCGGCAGACAGAATAAGGGTGGGCAACAAAAGGCGCTGCCAGCCCCCTCAGCCCTGCCCCTCAAGGTTATGGGTGATGTCCAAATTTAAGGCAGAAGTTCAAAGGCAGAAAACAAAGAGCAAAAAGACATCCTTCTCTCCCCCAAGGGAAGTGGCAGCCCCAGGTCCGTCTGCCCCTCCTCCCAGGCACCCTAGAATGCTTCCCACTCTGCAGGTGTACAAGAATGCTCCCCACTCCTGGTCAGTGCCCCTTGGCCACCACTACAGGCCCCAAGGCCTCTTCCAGGGATGAGGTCAGACTGACCAATGGAATTCTGCATTCTAGGCCCTGGGAGAACCCACCTGGATCCCACTGCCAGAAAGGACACAGCCAACCACCATGTCGCCTACACCTGCGCCACGTGGCAGCTAAAGCCTGGCTCAGCCAGCACTTCCGGATTCCCTGACAACCTGCTCCTGTGTGAGGAATGGGCAATACGGACAGGAGGGAGAAGGCAGACATTTGGCAATATATAGCAGGCCAGCAAGGAGACAAAGAATGTCACACCAGAACTCCATGACACCCAAGTGTCTACTGGTTTTATTTTCCCTGTGCCCCATCGCCTGGGTAAGACCTGGGGACCAGCCAACCCTCCTAGCACCAGCAGAGCCCCCCGGGCATTTCTCAATAGAGAGGACTCCATGCCAGGGTGCCAGCTTCCCCGTCAGGTCCCCAGGCAGGCCCTGGTGGAGCCAAAGCTCTCAGGCACTGCCTGGAACTTCGCCAGGGACATCAGGATGCTTCCTACCCTGAAAGGAAATTGACGCGGGATTGATTGACAAAAGGCCATATTCCAACAAGACAGCTAGGTTAGGGTTCCTTTATTTACAAGTCTTTCGAACACCATCCCTGTATGAAGCGTACATTCAAAACATTCTTAGCAGTGAGCGCGTTTAATCATGGAACACTGTAAACAGAGCCTTTAAATATTTTCATCCTCTTCCCCCACCCCTCTGCATTGCATCTTTTAAAATTCGCTTTGGTTCCTTCCGGGAAATATATATAATATAATATACTATTTATCTGTTTTAAAATAATTCCAAATCATTCTCAGGCTCTTGGAAGATTGCTAGGAAACCTCCAAGCTCAGTTCAGGAGCCCACAAGGGCAGAGGATGGCGCTGCCGGAACTGGGTGCCTGGGAGGGACTCGCACCCCTCCCAGCCTTGGCCTAGGACCTGCTGGACAGGGCCCTGGGCTCTTCTGCCCGCCACCAAGACGATCCAGGTTTCCTGAAGTGTGGTGAGGCTCTGGCCACACACCGGCGAAGCCCACAGGCATTTCCTGCAGAAATGGCGGGGCCAGCATGCAGCCTCCCGGCTCTTCTTCGCCTTCCACCACTGGGAACCGCCAGTTCCCGCCACCACTAGGTTCTGGGTCTGGAGGGAGGCTGGGATGGAGAGACCCCGTTTGGTAGAAAGACAAAGCCAAGTGGGCTGCAGGAGGCGGCAGTAGGTCAGACCCAGGACATAGCCGCCCATGGGCAGTTGGGAGGGTGGAGAGGCCCTGGTGAGGCCACTTGGAATGGGAGACTCCGTGGCCTTCGTTCTCCTGGTCCACCTCTGGGTCCAGCTGCCTTTCACATGGGGTTTGGAAAGCAGCGCTAATCCAAGTCCCTAGGACCCCCCACCCCTGCCTTCCTTCTGCTCTCTCCCCAAGCTCAACTGGGCTAGCAGAGTACACAGCTTATTGACTCATGGGTCCAGAGAAGGAGGTGATGGGGAGGCTTCCCGGGGGGGGGGGGGGCTCTCAAGGGATGAGGTCCCTCTCTAGGGGACCCTGGCAAGGGGGCCCAGTCCCCTAGGGAGACCACACCCCACCTGCTCCCAGCTCTACAGGCTCAGATAGCTACCAGGGGGTCCCAAACCATTCATTCTTAGCTGATGCACAACTCAACTCAGAATCCAACTCAGAAATCTTAAACCACCGAGAGCCTCACCAGGACAGTTCAAGGCTCCTCTGGTTGGGCTGGTCTCCCCCTCTGATACACTTTTTCTTTTCTCCTCCAAAGTCACCACGTGGCTTGACCTTGTCAAGGGCAAAATCTGCGCATCTCACACTTCCTGTGTCTGAATCCCCCCACCCAGCTCGTCGCAGCCAGCGGCAGCTTTAGAGCAGCGGGTTGGCCGAATAGTACTGTAAGCGGTCCCTGTTGATTTTTTTTTCCTTCATCCTTCTATTCTGAAACCAGATTTTGACCTGCCGGTCGGTGAGGTTGAGCATGCGAGACAGCTGCAGGCGCTTCTCTTTGTTGATATAGACGCTAAAGAAGAACTCGCGCTCCAGCTCCCGAATTTGGTACTTGGTGTAGGGGCAGCGCTTCTTGCGGGTGCGTTGACCACCTAGGACAGCAGAAAAACAGGCGCGCGTGAGGAGCCAGGCCCCGGAGTAGGGGGAGATGGAGGGAGCCCAGCCATCTGGCATCGACGTCCCCAGCCCAAGCCCGGGCCAGGAGAGCCCCCACAAGGCCCCTGTTCGCCTGTAGAACCTAGGACGAGCTGGAAGAGGCTTGGAGGCAGAGAGAGGGTTCCCGGGGGGAAAGTCGCTTGCGCTGGCCCCAGCACAGCCCAGGAGGGCTCCGCGCAGCAACAGGCGAGTCTGCGCCGCCGAGGCTGCTTTGAAAGCGGCCGAGTGGGGGGTTGCCGCTGCGTCTCCCGCCCCGCCAGACTAAACAAACAGCCGCCCGAGGGACATTTCACCTCCCAGCACCTGGACCGCCTGCGCCCCAGGCAGTAAAGGCGGCCGCCAGCCCCGGTATTTCCCGATGGCAACCGGGACTGGGCCCTCGTTAACAACCCGGGAGGCTGGCCGGCCGGCGGGTCTTTGTGGAGCCTGAATCCTGGCCGCCGCCAGCAGGGACCCCTCCACCCCTTCCCGGGCTCCTTGCTCGGCGCCCCTGACTCTGGCGCAGGGCAGGGGCGCTGGCTTAAGAAGGGTGGGCGCATGGGGAGGGAGGGGAACGTCCGAAGCCGCGAGTAGGCTTAACTTCCCCACTCTTAAAAAGCACAACCACCACCCTCCATGAGGAAAAAAAAAAAATCTCGCTTCTGACAGAACAAGAAAAATTTAAATACCACGCAGCGAACCACGGGCTGAGCGCAATAGCCCCCCGCGCCAGCGGAAGGTGGCTTCCTTTAGAGAGAGAGAAAAAAAGAGGGGGTTAACTTTGCACTAATTTTGTGTCTTTTCATGCATTGCTGGAGGATGGCGGGCTACTTTAGCTGTGAAACGCGCGTTCAGCAGGCTGCAGGCCCGGACGGCGCAACACATGGCTTTTATAAAAACCTTCGGATTACCTGGCTCTTCAAGGCCCCAGAGCTCTGGCGAGGGGGAGTTTACGGTCGCCCACCTCCGGCTCCCCCCAGCCCGGAGCCGGTCCCGGGCGGCCTGGAACTGCCGCCGGGCTTGGGAGCTGCTGAGAAAGGGGGGGGGGGAAAGAAAAAAAGGGGGAAAAGGGGGGAGGGTTTTTTTTTTTTTGTAAGGCAGCCTTTGGCCGGTGGGTATTTCACGGCCAATTTCAGCACTCGCCACGTGATCCCGCCTTTTATAACAAAGTTTTGTTGGGGGAAACCTAAAGGCCCTTCATAAACCTTATATGCTTATAAAACAGCATATAAAAATTTAACAGCGGTGCCTCGCTCGGTCTCCAACTCCCCTTCCATAAAGCGCAGGGCGCTGCCTGTTATACATACTGGAGCCGCCGGCCTTGTCCTCAGTGTGGCCGGAAGAAGACTCCGGGCTGCTGCTGCTCTCGGGGCGCCGCCGCCGCTCCTTCTCCGCCGCCGCCGCCTCCCGGCAGCCGCCGCCACCGCCGCCGCTCTCCGAACTTGAAGTTGCGGGCGCGCCCGTGGCCGCTGCCGCCGCCGCCGCCGAGGTCGCCGTGGCCGCCGGTGGCCCCTTCTCGGCGGCGCTCTTGTCCGCGGGGTAGTCGGAGGAAGCGAGGTTTTCCGGGGTACCGTAGGCGGTGTCGAAAAACTGGTCGAACGCCTGCGGCAGGACTCCGTTCCTGCCCACGGTGCTATAGAAATTGGAGGAGACGGCGGGGGTGGGGTGGTGGTAGACGCCGGCCGAGCCTTTGGCCAGCACGTCGGCGGGCGCGCCGGGCGCGCTGGGCGCCTGCAAGCAGTCCCTGTGCACCAGTTCCTCGGCCGAGTAGCAGTGGGCCAGATTGCCGCGGGGGTGCCACTTAGCGGCCGGCTCAATGGCGTACTCGCGGAAGGTCACCTCGCGCACGGGTTGGACCTGGGGCAGGTTGGAGGAGTAGGAATATGTCATTGGGCGCGAAGACGGGGTCTGGGGCAAGAAAGAAGGGAGGCTGGAGAAGTCTGGACCCGAGACGTAGTACGTACAACTTGGCAAATACATGTTAGAGGAGCAGGGACCACGCTCATCAAAATCCATCATTGGGCTACCTCGGGCTCTCCGCAGTAGCCGAGCTTAACATGATTCTCCACTGCAGCTGCCTCTTTGAAGCGGATCCGTGAAGTAGAAATTTGGAGACGTAAGCTGACGTGGAAATCTATCCCCATCCTTAGCAGGGAGGTGCTGGTCATGTGACCCGATGTTGAAATTGACAAGCTGCGAGCTAGCGAGTCCCGGCCTTTTTTTTTTTTTTAAACTCTCCCTCTTTCCTTTTTTTTTTTTTTCCTTTTCCCTCCCCTCCCTCCCCGCCTTCCTTTCTTTGTAGCCACCTCAAGGGAAGCAACAGCTCGTCACTCCGCGTTCTCACCGAAAGCGCGTAATCGCCGGTGTAACTCATGTTAGCTGGGGGCGAGGGAGGGGGGGCTCCCGGCGCGCAGCGGGGCCGGGGTGCAGCCCCCAGTGCAGCCAGCCAGTGCTCAGCCTCAAGGGGCGCGGGGCCTCCAGCGCGCCTTGGGCGGTGAGACCTCAACTCCCGCCCCCCACCTCCCCACACCCCCGGGAGGACTGGGACGGGGTGGCCCAGGTGGGAGCCTGGAGGCCTGGGGTCCTGGGGAGGTTTGCACTCGCACCCCCTTCTTCGCAACCCCCCTTCACCCCTGCACAGGCTCGCTTGGGGAGGCCCCAGAGCGGCCGACCCCGCTCTGGGCCAGGGTTTGCTGGCGTGGATGTGCTCGCCTCGTGGCTTGTCCGATTTGCACGGTGGCTTGATTACACGCTCGCATTCAGGGTCACTTCCGAAGCGCTTTAATACCTTCCGTCCCTAAACCGCCGACAGCCGGGCGGCTTTCCCCCCGGGGTTTGGGGAGGATCTCGCGGGGTCCGAAAGGGCCTTCGTCTCATCCGGGATCCACCTTTGCCTGCCTCCTCCCTGCCTGCCTCCCCACGCCACCTCCTTGCCCTCGGAAAGAGAAGACCCCCTTCCCTTCGCCGCCTCGCCTGCCGGGGTTCGGGGGACCGGCTGGGCAGAGCCGAGGCGCGGGGCCGCGCCGCCGCTCACCGCGGCACTCGCCGTGCCTGGTCTTCGGGGAGCGGAGGCGTCGGAAACCCAGCATTTTAGGCGCGCGCTGCGCGGCTTTCGAGGCGCTGACAACCGAGTTGGCTTCCCCTGGGTATGCTGCACCTTCTGGGGGAGGGAGGAGGGAGCCCGCCAGGCTGCTCGCCAGCTCCAGAGCTGCAGGGGCAAGTGGGGGCGGCGAGAAAAAAAGGGGGTTGTGATAACCAAGGAGTCTGATGGGGGGGGGCGTAAATCCGCCTTCCTCTTCTTCCGTGCGAAGCGCGAGAGTGAAAGCGAGGGATGTGCGCCTTCCCTTTCCCGCCACTTATTCCACGGAGGGGACACGACGAGAGAGAGAGAGAGAGAGAGAGAGAGAGAGAGAGAGAGAGAGAGAGAGAGATGGAGAGAGAGGTGCTCTCTGTCTCCTACCTTGGATGATAAGGTGTCTTGGGAAGATCTGCGCTAAAGATTGAACCAGAGCGCTGGCGGGAGTCTAGCTGTCTTGCAGAGGAGAGAAAAGAAGGCTGTAGGCTGGAAGGAGACATATTTTGGGGGAAGCAAAAAGCAGGGAGAGGGCGAGGAGCAGCGAGGCAGGATCTAGGGCTGGGGTTGGGGGAGGGGGCTGAGGGGAGACGGGTCGGCTTAGTAAAGTCACAGAAATGAACACGGGTAACCTTTTCCCTTTCCCCGTGCAGGAAATAGCCAAAGGTATTTACATATCTTGGGGAGATTTAGAGCATAAACTCCAAGATCTTGGGTATTTAAGTGTCAGCATCGATTTATTTATTTATTGCTGAGCTGACTGTAACGGACTCAATAACAAATCTAATCATGTATTGCCCTGGAAATATTCTTATGTATTTTCTCCAAAGAATGGCTCGCCATTGCATTTGAATGCCTGCTATAAATATCCATCATATCGAGTAATTACTCTGCAGTGGAGTAAACTAATTTATTAGCGTGAATGTTTATGCGGTTCTCTCTACTCTTCACCCCACTCCCCCTCTGCTCTTAACAGGGGGAGCTTATTACAAATCAAGCCACTCGGATACATCGGTTTAATGAACTCTTTATTCAGGATTTGCTGCAAGAACTTCCAGGCCCCTTGAATCCCTCAGAGCTAAACTTGAAATTATTTGTGCATCTTCGGCTTGAGTGTTTGTCCGCCGTAACTTGTCCAGAGTGAGTGAGAAGCTGGGTGTGTGTGTGTGTGGGTGGGTGGGTGGGGAGGAGGCTAGGGAAGGGTAGGCTAAAGACCACTTGAAATTGGGAAATTACAATTACAGGACTGCCAAACAGAGGGGGGAAAAAAAAACTTCTCTTCCCAGCGGTGGCCAAGGAGGCAAAATATTTGCTTCTCTACAGTATCTTTTGCAGAAGGGATGATGAAAGGGGGCAAGGAGAAGTTACAAAGAGAGGTATTTGAGCTGCCCCCCTGGCTGGGTTTGGGGCACCCCAACTCTCCTTCAGCAGCCCACCCAGTCCCCGCCGCCCCGACCCAGGAACAAAAGGAATGCGTGAGGGGTTTCCAGGAGTTTGCCATAACAAAGGCGCCACCACTGCAGGGCTCGCCCCGCCCCTGGATGAAGGCAAACAAATTCTTGCACTTGTATTAGGGCTTTTAAGACTATAATTGAGCCCGGGGGCGTCTAGGAGAACCGAAAACAGCTCTAGACAGACCTGCGGTTTTATAGCAGTTTTGGCAGTCAACTTCAGCTTGTGCCTGAGCAGACTGGCCGCGGTGGCCCGCCAGCGGGGGATGCCGGCCGCCTCCCCCAGCCCCTCTCTTAATTAGATCGGTGCACCAGACAGAGGGGGTCCCCGCAGGAAAAGACTGGTAAGGGGTGTGAGCCATCCTCACCTAACGTTGCTCCCCGTGTTCTCCCCTCTCCGCCACCTTTCCCTGTAGGGCCCGGCGAGAGGGTGCCGGTCGGTCAGTTTTCACCGGGTGTGCGTGGAAGACAAGGCGAATTTCCGAGGAGACGCTGGCGCGAAGGAAGGCATTCCGGGAGCGGCTGGCAGGGTGATGCCGCCCCGGCTGCATGGGAGCACGGGGTGCCCGGAGGACGTGTGGGGGCGCTGCGGGGACAGTGCAGAAGGAGAAGGGCTTTCGGTGCCAGCAGAAGGCCGGATGCTTCAAGTTCCCCAGCAGGAACCGTAAGGGGAGGGGGGTGCTTAGATGCTCAAGGCTGCACAACATTCGGTCCTCCTGCGCCACTAGCGTTTAAGATCCTGGCGAGGTGAAAATGTCCCCACGGCGGACTACCGGGGCTGGCGAGGGCGTGCGCAGCCCTGAGAGTCGGATCAAGTCTGGGACAAGAAGGGGCGCCAGAGACGTCTCCTCCCTAGCTTTTGACCCTAATCTAATTCCTTGGCTTTGCAGGAGGCCCAGGAAGCCAAGCTGAGCTCACCGGGCTCCTGGGAAAGACCCGGCTGGGGCTGAAGCCGCCGCAGAAGGCCAAGTCCGAGTTCCAATTCTTGAAGAGACCGCGGCTGGCAAGGCTGTGACATTGGCCCCCAGGGGACTGCTTTCCCATGCGCTGTTTTTTCTCAGGAGACGAAACAGTATCTGGCTCATATTTCCTTCCACCGTCACCCCGGAACCCCACGGCAGCTCATACAAGACGCCAAAAATGTTTGGAGGAAGAAAAACAAAGGCAGGAAGTGGCGGCGGCCTGACGGTGCGCGCGCGTGTATCTCCGCAGAAGGGAGGGAGATGGTTCCAGTCTTCTTGTTTTTCCAAACTTCAAGGTCTAGGCCGCCCTCGGCGAGGCCGCCGAGGCCGGGTCGCTCCCCCGCGCAGCCTTTGGAGGTGGCCCACAAGGAGAGAGGCCGGCCGGCGCCCCCGCGGTTGTCAGGCGGAAACGGCGAACGAGGAAATTGGGTTAGCACAACAGACCTTCTCGGTTTGGTTTGGTCCTAAGGGTTGGGCAGGATTGTGTGCATCCTGGCGAGGGCAAGGATCGGTGCACCGGCCTTTCAGCCGCCGTTGCAGGAGGAATCAAGGAATAAAGTGTGTCTAGGCGCGTCTGCCGCCTCTGCTTCTTCTTGTAGCCCCAGGGATGCCGGCAGCAGTGGGCTTGCGGGCAGGCGGCCTTGTGTCCAGGAGGAGGTGACCTCCGCATAGTCTGGGTGTACCCCTCCACATCCCTCCCACCACCCCGCCAAGCTATACCTTTAGCTAGCGCAGTTGTGCAAGGGGAATGGGGTGGGGAGGTACGTTTCCAGGGAAGTCTATGGAGCCACTCAAGCTAAACAGCTCCTCGTTCCAAGGAAGGACGTGGCTCCGGCTGGCTGAGGGGCATGGCCGGTCTCCTAGTTCCCAGGCCTCAGCTGGTGAAGCTGCCAGGCCGCCATCTCCTCTCCTTGGGAGGCAATGGGTGCTCTTTGTCCTAAGACCTCAGGGCTTGCACTTGGAGTCCTCCGAATGCCTGGCGCCCGGTCCCTGCAGCCAAGGCTGCTGTCCCCTACACCCCGCTAGGTCACACCACTCTTAGGCCCCTGCAGCTCCTCTGCTGACCTGCTGCTGGCCTCCTAGGCCCCCCTTCTGGGCTCTGGGGCCTCTCACCATTCCTAGTGTCTCCTAGGTAGTGAGAGCCCCTACTGGGGGCCCAGGAAAGGGACTGGTAGATATGTGAGGTTTCCTGGAATCCCACACCCAACTACTTGTCTTCCTGTTCTTCTATGGGACCCATCGGTGGTGCATTTTCGGGCTGGGTATTCCCAGGCGGGAGCTAGCTTGGGCAGATTTGGGCCCACATGACCAACCTCATCTCCCCGTCTGCAGTTGTTGTTCCCCATGGCTTGCTTCAAACCCAGCCAGTATTCTGCCTCTGCCTTACCTCTGTCATCCAACATGACATTCTCATGACAAAGGCACTCCAAAGACCATTTCAACCCTAGCGACCATATTACACACAGGTGCAAGGGGAAGGAGGACCTGGAGTAGCAACAGAGAGCCTTTGCTGGGGGGAGGGGTGTGCTGGCAACCCTTTCCGAGTAGGAGGGGTGTCCTGTGGTACATCTAGGGAGATGGGTTGCCTGCGA